AAATAAATTTCTTAAACTTTAAGACAGAATTTTACAGTACAATAATGCGAATTAATTATTTTTTACCGTCTTCAAAAAGGAGGAGGTATTCAAATTGACTGTATATATATATAAATTACGAGTCTCGTTGTTTGTTCGTGATGGACTTCTTTTTTTGCTAATTTAAGGATTTTTAATAAGACACGAAAAAGGGGCGTCGAAAAGGGTTGGATATATATATATATATATATATATATATATTAGCTTGCATACATTGTTCTGCCTTTTTCGACGACCCTTTGTCGTGGGACCTATTAAAAATTCTTGAATTAGCAAAAAATAAATTGTGGGCATAAAAACTATCCTATCTCTCAAGTTGAACCAAACTGCATACGGTGTGCAAATTTGATTAAAATCGGTTAAGTAGTTTAGGAGTCCATCGGGGTATATATATATATATATATATATATATATATATATATATATATATATATATATATATATGTGTATTACCTTAGAACTATTTTCTCGGTAAACCATATTTTGATGAATCTTCTTTTACTTGACAGCTGGTACCTCTCGTGCGATCCCATATAAATTTGATCAAGATCTGACCAGTAGTTTTTGAGTTATCCTTAAATAATGCGTTTTTAATTAACTTCGAATATATTGATTCGGTCGTATTGAAGTCGGTCGTACAAATTTTTTAATTTTAGCACATGTTAAATTAAAGAACCATAAAGGTCAGAGCAAACAAGACGCAAATCTTTTGCAGTGTCAGTCAATCAAAGAGTGCCTTATTTAAACCCTGGCGACATCTAGCGTTTACAATCCGAAGTTATTATTTGCGAAGGCTACTTTATGTGATGGCGTAAGTGTTCGCGAAAACTCAATAACGTCCATTTTCCCTTGCGTTCCAGAATTTCTTAAACAATATGTACTTATGATTGTGTACAAATTAATGAATGTTAGAACAAATAGTCACGTTGGTGGCGGAATATTTATCATTAGGAAACTTTTATAGTTTTATATTAAAATAACACAACACAGACCATTAAATTGAGCAAATATTTCAGCAGTAGTATTGTTGACAATATTCAATACCTAAACGGAGTGGCCTGCTTTCTCACATGGCGATGTAAAGTGACACCGAATGAGGAATCAGCTTTTCATTGCGAGTGAAGTGCAGATCGCGCGAAACACGGCACCGGTGCATTCGAGCCGCGCACATGCCGCCGGTACATGGTTTTACTGCACCTTGTGCATAAAAATACCATTTTATATCCAGTCCAGACCGTAACATCGAAAGTTGAATGTCTATTGTTCTTGGTAGTTTCAATTTAAAATATTTTTATGCATTAATGATTTGTAAATGGAATGCAAATTTTAAGGTTTATATTAATTTCTTCTATTTCTGTTAATGTTGTGATTAATTTATAAATACTGTTAGTAATTGAACAACATTACAAATCATTATCTGGTCTCCGTTGGTAATGAACTGTTTAGTCAACGGTACAAACTAAAACAATATCTGAGATATATAGGAGCAATCACAAACTTTACTAAAAATAAACTGTGTGTGCCAAAACAAGCAACCAAAATAGTAGGGCAATCTCACAATCACTTAGTTGGAAATGTTAATATATTCTTATTATTCCAAGCCTATATTTTCATACCCCGTATAGGGAACATAATATCACATATCATCCCATGGGTGTCGTAAGAGGGGAAACAACAAACTCAACCAGGTGGTGAGCAGCATAAATAAATAAAATATAAACTGCGGTTACCAAACGTGGTAACTATGGCAAATATCCTTCCTATGAAGTAGTCTATGGGGAAGGCCTATGTTAAATAGTGGACATTTGATAGACTGTAATGGTAAAACAGGAAACAGGGATAAAAGGAGCAAAATTCACGAGTACGGATTAGAATAGCATCTCACAAGACCGTGGCCCCATGGGTCCATAAATTACTACCGTGAAACTGAAGTGAGAGTTGAGTGGCTTCCACATAGACGGTCACTGGGGCTTCAAGGAGCACTTCGACTGTCTAGTGTCCCGAATTGAAAACGTAGCTGGTATGCATAGACAGCTGCCCAATCTAGGGTGACTCTGGAGGAATTGCGTCACTTGTATGTGGTGTAATACAGCCAATAGCCTTGTACGGAGTACCTGTATGGGCTAAAAGGCTGGCTATCCGACACTGAAAAACTAAAATCCACAGTACCCAGCGAAGGATGACCATACGGATCGTGCAAGGATAATCTACTGATTTGACTTGATTCGAGGCGGCTTACTGGCAGATATGTATGCGAGAGTGTACGACCGGATTCACGTCTTCCACCAGAGCGCTGGTAGTGGAACAAAAGAGGCCTTCATGTTGACTAAGCGGCAGAACGACTTAACGAATTCATTGCAACTTAGCGCGCTAGTTTCTGAATGCGAAGTAAACAGTCATGTTGGCGATTCTGAGAGGGGATTCAGAATTTATTTACAGATGGAATAGTCCAAAAGTAATCTGCTGAGCAAAATCGGTGAGGATAGATTGGAGACGAAGTCACCAAAGCGTTCGTCACGACTCTTCTCCTGTTGATAGTGTTCCTCTAACAAAACCGGAGTCCGTTGTGTTACGAACGGGAGCCCAGAACGCCTATAAATATAGCCCTTGAGAAGGATGATGGCTCAAAAGTGAAGACTGACGGAAGTAAGTACTTCCCTGGTATCCTGCTTCTGGTAAAATGATGGAGAGGCTCCAATTACGTTCCAAACGGAGATCTCGGAGCTCTTTATATGCTATGGCAGGGTTATAGCCGGTAGAAGTTAGGCTTAACCTTTTTACTTCGGTAGATCTCTGTTAGCAGTAGACTGGTGACAGACAATTTTAAACACACACAAGTGTTAAAGATACTCATTATTGTACCTTTCCCTCCCCCTCGTCTTCCAAGGGGTTGATGGCAACGGATGTTTTAACTAACCAGAGTATGAGCAATATCGCTTCTTTAAATTAACTGCACTTTTAGTATGTTTTTAACGTGTTGCTACGTTTTTCTACGTGTACATTAGCAATTATGGAAAATTCATTTCAACATAACCACGTCGTATCTTCACAATCATATAAGCTTATTTAATCTGATCACTTATCTCTGAACGCTTTTATTCAGTTTAATTGAAACTCGGATGCAAAATAGCAACACGCAATTAAAACACGCCTAAAAATTGACTTTGAATTCAAACTTAGAACATATAACCTAGAAGGCAATTGTAATAGATAAGCTTCTCTTCAATGGCCGTTTTTAATCTAGAGCTAGACAAAATCTCTCAAAAAATGCACTATGTAATGATTAAATGTCTTAGACACTATGTATTTTATGACACTTATATTTTTTGAGTTTTAAAAAAGCTAATCGAGACTATATACTTTATATAATAATAAATATATTTGAAAGCGTAGTAAAATGTTAAGTACATGTTATAAATATATGCAATATACAATATACACAAACGGGTTTTTTTTTTCGAGGACAATAATGTGTATAATGTGTACTCTTTGTTCTGTTAAAAGAATCGTTCGAAATTACCGCCGAACGAATTTTCCCGACTTTCTCCGTAACGAAGCAACAATATCGATCGGCGCACGCCCCATTGCTGCAGTTCTACCCAATTGTTTGAATTCGATGTGAATTACACGAGGAATGGATTGTGACGTCCGACGAGCTTATGTTACATTTTAAATTAAGACGCATTCAGCAGGGTAAGAACGCAGCCTTTCCGACCAAGTGGCGCGCTCTCGTGAGAGATCTGAGAACAGATAAAAGTAGCCATTCTATTTTTATGTATAGAATCTATTAATACTATATCCATTGCTGCTTGTACGGGCAATTTGCCAAAAACAGTTTAATAAAACCAGCAATAGTTGACGTAGAATGATTGTTCATTTAAAAATCGTTAGTTAACTATTATGCTGAGGGCCGGGTAACAGCTAGCGTGGCCTCGCGGCCCTCATTGCGCCGCAACGCAAATCGTTGAAATCAAAACTTTCACGCTACGGAGTGCTACGAAGTTTTACAGCTACGAACTTCCTGCTACGAAACGGCCATTGCGCCCTATACTCCAAAACTTTGTTGTTACAGCTTTTTATTTTGTCACTTTCCGTTATCAGTTGTAAGAAGTTGTTGTGTGGGACTTGTGATTCGAAACTAGTTAACTTCGACTATCAAAAAGTGTGAAGACCAAGTTAGAGTTAGAGGTTGATGCTCTATTTTATTAAGAGTTGAATAGAATTGAGTTAAATAAAAGAATTAAACGGTTGCATCCAACAATATCTTACATTATTTAGCAGAAGGGTGTATTATAAGTTAGACACGACGGTCTCATTGCAGTAGGGTTTAAGACCTTGGAAAGTGTTGCGCCAAAGCGAGGTGTTACATGTTGGGTATTTCCAGCAAGCCAAGAAGGGGCGGGTCCGCACCGTGGTGCGTGTACTGGATGGTTGTTTTAATAAAATGCTATTTTCACAGTTGTTTTAAAAAATTTGTTAATTTTTTAAGGTAAATAAATATTTACGTAAATAAACTTTCATTCCAATGAATAAAGAAAAATAAAACAATGTTTTAAAATACATAATGCGATAGTGATTTAATTATAATAGTTGACACTCTTCTTCTAGATATCGAATTAAGGTTTGATTTTAGTAGTAACGTAGTTATCGATACCTTGAAGTTATAAAACGTCACTATGCAGGCAGTAGAGTCGGTTCGGTTTTGTTGTTCGTGGAAACGAGTCGCAGGTGGGTGCTGCGGTTCGGGCAGAGCCGAGCGCCGCCGAGCGCGGTCGGGCTTCGCCGAGCTAGCGCCGCGGCCCGAACGTCGTATCCGCCAACTGTTCAACCGTTCGCCAGTCAGCGCTCGGCCTCCGCTCAGTTCTTTCGTGCCAGTGACGCCGTGCTGTGACGCATTTGACAGTTGTTGATCGTGTTCGTGTAATGTTTTCGTATCGGAACTATGGTGTATCCCCATGAAGATGTGGAGTGATTTTCAGGTGAGCTAGCCTTTTAAGTGGAACATGACCAAAAGCGATCTACAAAAGTCCTTTAAAATTTGACATCGAATATTTTTGATTATTAATAGTAGTACTCAAATTAGTTAACAAATCTGAGTTTTTATTTCTATGTTGAACAGAGTTTGGCTTTTGTAGATCGGTTCGTACGGAAAATTTTCTAAAGGTTTTAATGGGAAGTGTTTTGTAACTTGTGAGTTGTATAATGTTGTAGAATTCTTTGTTACACTTTTAATAAGCGTCTTTATACGTTTCCCAATGTTGCTATTTGTGTTTATTAGTCTATAAAACCTCGAAAATCAGATCAGTTCTAATTTATAATTCACAACGTAATTAAGTTATATAAAACGTCTGCTGGTTGTGGTTATAAAATAACAATACATTTGTGACAATTCGTATCTTAGCCTTTTAAAGACTAAGTTATTCTTTTGCTAAAAGTAAATGATTTGAAAAGAGCATTAAAGTTAGATATACTTTTATTTCATAACATGAACTATGATGTATACTTTTTCCGCTAATACCCACTTTGTTTTTGATTTTATTTGTACTTTAGACTTTATATCATGTATATGTACGTCTCTTATGCCTAGTAGTTTTCAGGAAATTTCCTCAAAATACCCTATTTTTCAAAAATAAAATTTTAAAAGTTTCGCGATAATGTGCGCGCCTTTTTTTAAATTTGACATCTCTACGTTTCCGGCGACCTGTCAAACGTCATGTGATAGATAGAAGGGCGCGTTCTTAGTTCTGGGTTTTTAAATTCAAAGTAGTCGCCTCGATAACTGCGTCGCTCGAGGCGAGCGAGAACCAACAGAAATAAATGTGCGCTGTCCCGCTCGCACGCATAGCTCCGTCGCGTTCATGCGACGGGTGTTTTTGTGCCGGACCTGGTTTTTTGTGCGCGGCGCGAGGTTGCCGGCGCCGTTTGCTCGGCTCGCCGCACATTAATTATCGCCGTGTTGGCTCCGGCGCGAACGCACTTTACTTTCTATGTTGGCTACGTTATTCACTGCTTAGAATTCGGCAGTTTCATCGCGTTAACAACATGTATATACCTTTTTTTTTTTGGATATCCAAAATTACGAATTACCTACTACGAACTAACCTTATCCATAAATAGTAAGGGTAGGTTAGGAATAGGGTAGTCACTTTGTCATCAATAATAAGGTTTGTTTTTGTATCAAATCGGAGCCTAACAAAAGAAATTGTAAAAAACCGCCACGTAGTGACGGCGTAAAAGATTTAACTACAACACAATATTATCCTGTGGGTGTCGTCAAGACAGTGGGAAATAAAACCGGAGATGAAAAGTAATATCTTTTGTATAAAAGTCTGCGATAGCCAATTCGCCTTCCAAGCGTGGCAACTATGGCAGATATAAGATTCCTACTATCGAGACCCCTCTATAAAGCAACCTATAGGGATTCTTAGTGCAACAATGACATTTTGATAGGCTATAATGAATTAATGAAAAAGTACAATAAACACATTGTTTCCATTTTTTTTATTAAATACTTGCTGTTTTAAGCTTTTATTAATAAATTTATGCCATAGTCAGCCTTTATTAAAATTAATATTTTCCCTTTCTGTATATTTTTGGAATAGTAGTATTCGGATCCCTAATATGTAGGCAGGTTTGGCAACCCTAAAGCATTCCGAGCTAAGGGGCGCGTTGCTATGGCAACAGCTAGGTGACTCCTTCAGGTATAGTCAATTCTAAATTTAGAACTATACTGTAAATTACTAACAATTTTTTATTTTCTATTATTTATATCTTTTTCTTTGGTTATCAAGTCAGACAAAGGAAAAATGCTTGGGTATTTTTGATTATCGCTAATGAACGTTGGTATCAATGAGATAGGCAATCGATAAAGTCAAAATAAAATATGTTTTAGAGGAAAGTTTTTAATGTCTTTTATTTTCTCAAATTTATATTTTACAAATCTGTTAAAATTACTTAAAAATGTACAGTTCTTATTATTTATAAGAAAACTAAACTTACTACTAATGACGAATTGCCCTATTGAAAAAACGTATCGTATCGTACTTACGTTTTGTTTTGCTAGCATCACATGTTTAGTGCAAACGTTTACATGATAAACATACTTCCTAAAACGAGCCACGTGATTTACTGTTAGGCCGGTGAGTGGTCGGGCGGCGGATGGGGAAGGGGTTGAAGGGTGCACCGAGGAATGCGACTTGTTGCAGTCACGTGCATCCGTCAGCCGGGACGCTGGGTGCGCTTGATCCATGTATATGTTGCAGTAAGTTTGTTAAAACCGTGATACAGTTATATCCCTAGAGATTTACATATGCATAGATATATACCATAATATAGTTGTATGAAAGTCGTTTATAACCTACTTACTAGGAATATAACTATGATACGAGCACGTTATATATCTAGTTTGCTAGACGCATTTAGGAAAATAATTATAAGTATAATATGTTACAGTCAAAACTCATAACAGGTCAAAACAGTTTACAATTATAATTGTTTCACTAGATTAGTCTAGTAAGTTATATTACTAGATTATGTTCGTATCATCGTTGTGTTCCTAGCAAGACAGTTAGGAACCGCTTTCATATAACTATATTAGCGTATATAATTATATCCCTTGGGATATAACTATATCACGGCTTCAACCATCTAACTGCGACGTATAGATGTAAAAGATATTTTTAGTTAGTTTGAAGAGTACCTCCCGCCCTCCCTCAATTGCGTGTACTAATCCCGTCACCACTAATCCGAGCACCACTACTCCCAACACCACTACACTAGGAAAGTCACACCATCGACAATAATACGACACGTGTTTCGCGTCTACACAAGGCCTCAGTTGATGTAGACTCTGCGGTGGCTGACCGCTAATATTTATCTACGCGACGGGGTAGCGAATTTTAACTAACTGCGAATTCGTCAATTTTCCAGTGTTGTTACAGTAGGTGCTACATGCAACCGCTGATTATTTGTACTTTTAGTGTGACAAAGTCATTTAGTTTTGTAGAAAGGATATGCCTTGGAGATAAACACACATACAATCTTCATAAAATGTTTGCAGGTCATTTTGCTGTGTATATACTATAAGTATCGACTTAAAGCATAATATGTATGCTATAAGGATATCAACATAGGAGAATCCAACATCCCCCATTGTGTCCCATGGGCCTCGTAGAAGGCTTGGAAACGTGTTCGGGAAACGCGTTAAATGGTCAGTTACGCCAAACGTTAAATATTCAAACCGGCGATGTTTAGCACTTAGATTATATTCAAAGGTGTAACATTGTCAAAGGTGCGGAACTTCTAGTACTGTGGCAGTTAATCGGCCTGTAAAGCATGACGATCAAGGCAAATCGTTCCTGTATATCCTATGTATGTATAGTCGCCGGGAGGAGCCTATTGATTCAAAATGGACTGGACTTATGGTTTGAGCTCTATATTCCTGTAGGTGTTTTGGTTATAACTCCCACTCCTAAGATATAGTAAAGTATCCGATTGTAAAAAAAAATATATTACATATTAACCAATTTTATATTACAAAGCTAGTTTGGTTAGCTTAAGTCACCTATGAAATTCTGTAACTGCGGGTACTAGGAAGAATTGTTCTTTTCTTTAGTTTATTAAAACTCTGCGTAACATAGTATTATGTATTTTGGTTGTTTTCTTTTTTGTATGTTACTCGATATCGTCAACCGTTGGCTTATTTTGAATTATCTTTTTATTACATTATTCAAACTTCTGGGTTTTTTTGAAAAATTGAATTTTAATAAAACTATTTAAACGACAAGGGCAATGTGATATTGCCTTAGTTCACTCAAAAATGTTAAAAACTTTGACTTTTAAGAAAAAATAAAATTGCACATTCTAAAATAAGAGCTTTAATACACATCTGTACATCATGTCTTAGCAAATTTTGAAAAGCAAATAAAAATATTAAGGTCAGTGAGAAAATATGGAATGGAAGAAATATATTTAAGGACATACTTACGGTAAGAAAAAGTTTAGTTCTGTGATTCCTTCCGAAAGTATAACATGCCTCGCAGTGTGTGCAAGGCCGCAAGTCGTGCGGTTCCGTCGCACAATCCGGAACATCTCGCTATGTATTTAATTACACCTAGCACCGTTAACAATCGAGCACGTGCGGTAAAAGTTTGTAAACACAAACAAACAAATGAATGAATTCTCTGCAACGGCTGCGTCATCAAACACACGCATCATAATCATTTATGCTAACGAACCTAATTATGTAAAGCGCGGACATGTTTTGACATAAGTTTACGACCAATTACGAACCCATTGTATGACTCAATGAACTTGAAAGACACTACAATAATATAGGGCATCGACACGAACGATGAATGGCCGTAGTAACACCTGTTTAGAAAAAATGCGACGTTCAAAGCGTCAGGTGTACCAAATTCAATGCGGCCGATTATATTTTTATTACCATCGTATTGAGTTACGGCACTTGTTTATTTACGTTTTTTCGTCTGCGAGAGATTTCGTTTGTTTCACGTCACGATGTTACGGTGACTTCATAATCATAATAGATTTTATTGCATTTTTAAATGTCGTATTATGTTATTCATAGATGATTAGATATCTCGTCATTCAACCATATGTTATCGATTTTTTTCAACTTTACTGTCAAGTTATTTTTTTAAATTAGAGTGACAAAACGTGGCGACAGTCAAAGGTAAATAGCTACTGCAGCTTATTGACATCTGCAATAAATAAAAAACCACTGAGGACTAAGATGGCCTCACAGCCAGCAATTATATTGGCTTTCTTACTATTCAAACTGGAAAAAGTGGATTCACTGTCATTTAGCGGTGAATGTTATCATACAAATCTATAGTAACATCCAATATTATATTTGTCACTGACAATTAATCAATTCGGAAAGAATTTTTATTTTCATTTCATTGCAAATCGCAACATTGAAAAAAAAATCCACAAAGCTATCAATATAAGATTATTC